AACCTAATAGCGATGGCCTCCAACCTAATAGCGATGGCCTCCAACCTCATAACGATGGCCCCCAACCTCATAACGATAGCGATGGCCTCCAACGCGATGGCCTCCAACCCTAATCGCGATGGCCTCCAACCCAACCTTCTAGCGACGGCCTCCAAATAGCAATGGCCTCAACCAGTAGCGATGGCCTCCAACGTGATGTAAGGTGCAGGGCGGCGGTAACAATATTGGACACCGACATGGAACCACTTTCCAGTGTGGTTTGTGGGGTCGGAGGCTGTAGTCGCCGCCCAGAAGGGGACTGATGTTGTTAATTACTGGCACGCGTTTGGAAAAAGGAATGATTCCAATAGATCCTCGAAAAAGAACTTGATAGGAGGTGTCTTGCTGTGGTTTCCAGTCTTTCTTAGTAAGAAAACTGAACAAGGGAGCCCCCGCTGGTTGGAGGGCCTATTCCACTGCACACCGAGATAAAGGAAATTCACTTCCCCTTTCGAAACATCAGGATATAATTGGACATTGACCAAATATTGGACCCTAAATCCCATCCGCCAAGCCATTTAAACACCAAGTGTCCAAGTCGAACCTAGTCCTAGCGCGGGCCCGCCCAGACTCGACTGAAACTGGGTCGGTCTCAACATTGAGGGGCTCACGACTCACGGCCCAAGTCCGAAGGGAGAATGGGAGAATGATATACTACGAACTTCTTCCTGATATTCAAAGGGCTGCGTCAAGGTGAGCAGTATAATACAATGCACCTGTGATATTAATGTTTCACACTACTTCTCAGTGGAATGGGTGTTGCCTTGCTTTTGCCTGCTCACTCTACCGCTACTCTACCTATACACTGCATCTACTCTAAGGAACGGTGTTCCGTGAGGCACTTGAATTTACCTCCTCTAGCATCATTTAAAATTGGATTCCTTCACCATTAATTGCGTCTGCTGGGCAAGTTGTCCTCGGTATACTAGTACTTCGCCTTGTCTCTTCAATGTGTTGATTTTGCCTGGACGTCTACCACGTAGTACTTCTCTCTGTTCCTCCTCATATTCCACATGCTATGCGGATATTCTGGGTTTCCACCTCTGAATGATGTTGACTCCATCTGAAGGAACTGCTCCATGAGTTGCTGCATCGAGCAGTACTTCCATGTCCACTATACACTATATCGTCCTCTTGTAGATCTCAAATGCTCTAAAAACTCCTTCTTGCGAAGTAGTTTGCTGCATGCGTCTCAGAAATCATACCATAAGCTGGTCTCTGCCATGATGCTGTTTCTTTATCCTCCACAAAATCTCCATTGGGAATCAACCCACATTGAAGTTTCCTTGTGTAGTCTGTGATACTATCGAGTTGACTTTCATCCTCATCCCTCCTGCCAAAGTTGCACTCAAACTCTATCATCCTGATCTCTAGTTCATTCACTTTACCCGCTTTGCGCTTCAATTCTTTGCTTCACATCTTTCATTGTTAAGATCATTGCTGCAAAACCGAAGATCATGATCCTGATGATCGTGATTTTCCAGTTTCTTTTGGAGTCTTCTACTTCCAATGTGCACTGGTCAGTTCCTTTCATGAAGTAGTAGCTTCTGCA